CTAATTCCTCACAGATAAAAAGGTTAAATACACTTTTCGTAGAATATTAAGGTTGTGATTGGGAACGCAGTCAATGCGGTTTTTAGGCATGTGCGGACCAATTTTTTCTTGTGCTTCCATTCACAATATTATGTGATTGTAGTGCGTATTTGAAGTTGCCAAAAAGTTGATAATAAAATATTAGAATAGTGCCAAATGCGGTTCAAAAAGTGCATACAAACTGAAAATGTTGTACATTTTTTATAAGCTCCACTTTTGGTGCGGTTTAAACTGCGGTACGGTTTTTTTTAATGTTTTTTTAGTTTAAAAATTCTGAAAAATATATATAATACATCCTTCTGGCTTATATATTTGTATTAAGATTGAAAAAGAAAATTATGTTCATCTAAAATATTAAACAAAATATATATCAAAAGAAAATTATTATATTTGCACCATATTTGTTTAAATCACCAATCAAACATTGTTTCGTTCTGCATTTTTCACACAAATCGCATTAGTTCCGCATACCACACGATCCGCACTTGTACTAAACCGCTTTCCGCAATTTTTTTAACCGTTCCGCTAAATTTGATGTCACCATTCGGATCCTAAAGCGAATGAAGTTTTGTCTACAGAAAGTAGAAAGTATCGCCAAATTTTGTTTTTTTAATGTTCTATTAGGAACTACATATAAAAAAGGTTAAATACACTTTTAGTAGAGTATTAAAGCGAATGAAGTTTTGTCTACAGAAAGTATCCCCAATTTTTGTTTTTTTAATGTTCTATTAGGAACTACCTATTTGCCATGTGCGTCTATAAAAAACCCTCGTCTCCACTTTACTCATTCATCCATCGCTCTCTCTAAAAACCCTTTTTTTCTTGAATCTTTTAGGTCACCGGAAAAACTCGCCGGAGAAATCTCGTTTCCTTCACCAATCGAACAAAGATGTTTCCTTCATCATCTGATTTCTCTTTCTCAGCTTCGTCTCTGTTCTCAGCTTACGCATCTTTAACCGGATTCTTGATGCTCTTCAGATCAATGCTTCACGATTTCGTTCCGGCCAAACTCCGATCTTACTTCTCCGACTTGTTCGACCGGTATTTCACTCCCAAATCGAAGAATCTCACCGTGATTATCGACGAGAACTTCGGATTAAACAGAAACCAAGTCTACGACGCGGCGGAGATGTACCTCCGGAACAAAATCGGTCCAGAAACAGAGCGATTACGCGTCGGGAAAACACCGAAGCAGACGCACTTCACGATCTCGATCGAGAAAGGAGAAGAGATCTTCGATTCCTTCGAAGGCTCTGAGGTTAAATGGAGTTACGTTCAGTCAGAGAACGAAAAAGGGGATAAAGTGAAACGACTCTACGAACTCACATTCGAGAAGAAGCTTAAGGACAAAATCATGGGTTCTTATTTGAGTTTCGTAGTTTCTGAATCTGAAGAAATCAAGAGGAATCTGAGAGTTGTGAAGCTTTATAGCAGAGATGTGTACTCTAGTGACGACGATGATGGTTGTGCAGGTGGGAATTGGGGATGTATAAACCTCGAACATCCTTCGACATTCGATACATTAGCGATGGATCCGAGTGCGAAGAAGAAGATAATCGATGATTTAGAGAGGTTTCTTAAGAGGAGAGAGTTTTATAAGAGAGTTGGTAAAGCTTGGAAACGAGGTTATTTATTGTATGGACCTCCAGGTACTGGTAAATCAAGCTTGATTGCTGCAATGGCTAATTACTTGAAATTTGATGTGTTTGATCTTGAGCTTAGTAGTATTTACGATAATGGTGATTTGAAGAGGGTTTTGTTATCCACCACGAATCGTTCGATTTTGGTTATCGAAGATATCGATTGCAATGCTGAAGTGAGAGATAGAGAAGCTGAGAAGGAAGAAGACGATGATAAATTTAAGGGAAAGGTGAGATTTTTTTGTTAAATTTGTGTTTTTTATTTGAGAGTGAGAATTCTACTATTGGGTACTTAATGTGATTGTTGTTTTTTGAGCAGGTGACATTATCAGGGATATTGAATTTCATTGATGGGTTATGGTCGAGTTTCGGAGACGAGAGGATCATCGTGTTCACGACGAACCACAAAGAACGGCTTGATCCTGCATTGCTGCGTCCTGGAAGAATGGATGTGCATATCAACATGTCTTATTGTACAGGGTTAGGATTTAGGACATTGGTTTCTAATTATCTCGGTTTAGACGGCTTGAACCATCCTCTCTGTGAAGAAATCCAGAAGTTGATCGATTCTACTGAAGTTACTCCTGCTGAGTTAGCTGAAGAGTTGATGCAAGACGATGATACCGAAGTTGTTCTTCGCGGAGTTGTTAGCTTTGTTGAGAAGAAGAAGCTTGAGAGAAGCAAAACCAAGGCCGAAGACAAGGAAGTAGTGATTAAGAACACAATTGATAATGACGAAAAACAGAGTGGTAAGAAGAAGAAGAAGGAAACTGGTAAACGAAATCGTAGAGGGAAGAAATAGATTGTAATAATAACATCAAATAAGAGAGATCTTTGTACAATAAATTGGTTGGTGTGTTGTGTAAACTAAAACTACTTATCATTAAAGTTTCCAAAACCTTTTTATTTAAGCAAAAATGTATACAGAGAGAGAGAGATTGAGAATTAATGGTTGGTCGAGTTTAGACGAGAGAATCCAAAGGAAAGATCGATACTCTAGAATTTTCTCTCGTTATCATAAAACTATACGTAACGAACCATGTCTCTCGCCATTGGTAAGTCTTTTTGGTTCACTGGTTTCATGTGAACCTCTCTTATGTTACCTTTATTGATGTATGTGGTTTTGTATATCTTAATTAGAAGCTGAAGTTTATAAATTTTCAGAAGCTCATAAATTTCCCCACTCCAAAGATAAAAACAGATCTCATGGATCCCTTATTGTGTATGGTGTTGAATTCAGAAACTTTGAAGTGCATAAATAACTTATTGGTACAAAACACACAACTAAAGAGGCTTATAATGCTCTCCTAGTTAGATCATTTGAATTCAAACATTTCTCGGTCTTTGAACAGGAGCTGTTTACGCCATTCAAGAGGCTTGCTTGCAAAGCTACAAATGAAAGCGTGAGATCTCCAATTTTCACTGGTGTATGTAGTCACCATGATTAGAGTGACTAGGAAGCTGACCGAATCAACCATATACTCGAGCGCTGTTTACTGTGACGGCAACTCAATGAACAAGAGTTGGATGCAGTCAGAGTCAATGTCCACAGCTACCATCTCAGGGGATGATTTCATAGCGGTCATGAAACGTATGGCTGAGCTCGAGCAGAAAGTGACCATCTTGAGTGCGCAGCCAACAAGTATTATGCCTCCTGAAAAGGAAGAAATGCTGAATTCTGCAATTAGCCAAGCCGATGTATTGGAACAAGAACTCGCTGCAACCAAGAAAGTAACAATAAACAATATCTTCATCAGTCACTCATTGTCCAATTCTTTATCACTCACTCATTATTGTCATCACTCAATCTTTATTTCTTGATAGGCTTTGGATGATTCTCTTGACCCACAAGTGGATCTCGTGGCATACAAAGAAGAAGAAGAAGATGGTCAGTGTTGTAAAAACTTAAAATCATGTACACGTTACTTACAAGCATTGATCAAATCTTTGTCATGGTCTTTACTCTTTAAACTGGTCTTTTTTTTTTTTTGTCGTTGAAGAAGAAAGAAAGAAAGCCTCTTGGAGAGTCAGAGAAATTGAAATGGTGGATTGATTTGTTTTTGTACCCAAGGTCACCAATATGCTTGTATGATTATATCATTAATTAAATTAATCTTGTGATATTAAAAATCATCGCTTGTATAAGAGAGTTTTTTTTTCTTTTTCTGTATATATTAGAGTGTACATTATCCTAATTTGGGACGATATTACGTGATTGGTCTAGTTATTAAACTAACGTACAACAAATAATTCCTTAATTCAATAGTAATAAATACTTTTAATCTGTAAAAGAAACAAATAATAGTCCCTTCGGAGACATCCGATAAAATTGGAATGATACAGAAACGATTAGCATGGCCCATGCGCAAAGATGACACGCATAAATCGAGAAATGGTCCAAATTTAAATAAAAAAAACAAATAATATGAACACTCTTAATATTTGTTTACATACATAGGAAAATTAAGAGTATTTGTACCTGATAGCAATGGATTATAGGGTATTTGGCAAAATAACCATCGCACTGTACATTATTATTTAACTCCATTTTGCCCCTACTTTTGTGTTGTCTAGTATACTTAGCTTTTACATGTATATATATTGTTAGAACGAATAAGTGATGATTTAGTTGTAGGAAAAAAAACAAAAATAAGAAGTTAGGAAGAAACAGTGTTGTTTTCAATTTGGTAATATTACTGAGAATACAGTTCCCAGACGACTCCAATGGCTCAAATTTAACATACTCCGGACAAATTCGGCTATATATATTTGCGAACAGCTGATTTGATGGTAAGGGATTCCGCTGTATTTTTTTCGTGAGTTTTGTTTGGTTTACAATAATAGTTAGAATTCAGAGGCAAGTGATAAGTTGGTGATAGTCCAACAATTTTTTTGACAATTTGAAGTTTTGAGTCTATCGTTATAATAGTAAGTCCGCTTGAGCATATATTTTTCGAGTATTAGTAGGAATTTTTCCTCAAATTCTTTTTTAAGGCAATCCATGTCATAGATCTCACTTTTTTGTTACGGTATGAGTTACCGGAGATGGGAGAAGAATTGGAGTTACAAAAATTGGAAAGTTTCGAGTCCACCGCAACTCGAGTAAGTCGTTTCGGACGAAGACAGTTTGGAGATGAAGGATAATAGAATTGACCGGAGAAAGATGATGATCTACCGTCGACGAATATCGTCGAGGAGCCAAGCACTCTGAATAAATGTTCTTCAGTTAGACGAGAATATCACAAATTTGACAGATAAAAACTATACTAAACGATAACATAAATATTATCCGCTATGCGTATTACAGAATCAAGTATGCATATCTAACATTGCAACCCAATGGCAATGTCTTAATTTAGTTGTCAATGTATTTTGTTATCCATCTAACTTTAGTATCTTAATTGTGTCTATGTGATGTTAAAAAATATAAGTAATCAGCAATGTACACATATAAGTAATATGTTAACCACCAAATATACTTTTAGCCGACTAACATGTAGTGTAAAATGTTGTACAAAGTGTAAAAAATAAGTCTACTATTAATCTAACTAATCTATTTTCTGCCAAGTTAAGAAAGAGCCGTCTAACATTCACGTTGAAGTCTAACTTTTAGTTGTCCATTATATTAGCCGTCTAACATTTACGTTGAAGCCTAACTTTTAGCTGTATAATATAGAGGACTTCTCTAGGATACAACACTTTGTACATTGTAGAATTCTAACAGTACAACCATTTTTCAAATGTTCCAAAAATACCACATTTTTTCAAATGTTCCATATAACACAAACACAAAATTGATTTCCA